GGCGCGGCACCGGCTGACGCCGTCCTCTCCCCGCAGAGCATCGCGGTGCAGCTGCCTCCCGAGCGCCTGCCCTCGGCCAGCGGCTTCTCCTCCCCGGTGGACAGGTGAGGGCGCGGGGCCGGCGGCGCGGGGCGGGCGGCTGCGAGCGGCGGTGCTGATGCTCCCCGTCGGGGCTCCCTGCAGCTACGCCTCCGATGTGGCGTCGGGCATGAGCGACGGCTGCGAGGGGCTGTCGGCCGGCGAGCAGAGCTCCAAGGGGCCGGCCAAGAGGGCTGCGGGGAAGCTGCTGCGGCGCAGAGCCCGCTCCAGGCTCCGCATCACCAACGTGAGTGCCGCGGGCAGCGGGTGGGTGGGCAGGAGCCTGAGCCCGGGCTGAGCCGGCCGCGCTGCCCACAGATCTCGGACAAGAACGACCGGGTGGTGGAGTGCCAGCTGCAGACCTACAACAACAAGATGGTGACCTTCAAGTTCGACCTGGACGGGGACAACCCAGAGGAGATTGCGGCCGTCATGGTGACTGTGGGGCAGGGTGAGGGTCGGAGTGCGCTCGGCAGGGCTGGGCGCTGACCACCCCTCTGCCCGCAGGTCCACAACGAGTTCATCCTCAAGTCGGAGAGGGACGGCTTCATCCACCGCATCCGGGACATCATCCACCGTGTGCAGACCCTGCTCCGCAAGGATGGGAGCAGCGCTGTGGAGCTGCCCCGGAGCCCTGAGGCTGAGCACAGCCCCGTGAGTGCCCAGGGCAGGCACCGGCGCTGAGTACAGCTGTGGGTGCTGCTGGCCCCAGGGAGCCCAGCGGGAGAGGGCCAGGGTGCAGAGCCCTCTAGCCATGGGTAGGAGCTGCCCTATGCCTGTGGCTCCAGGTCACTTGCCTGCTCTTGCAATGGGTTGTGGTGTACCCTGCCCAGTGCTGGGGCTGGGGAGGGAGCTTGGATCAGGCTGTGCGGGGCCTCTGCCCCAGCGCTGTCTCACTGCATCCCCTCCGCAGACGGACCTGCCGCTGCAGGAGCTGTCGCGCTCCATCTCCTCGTCCTCTCTCAGTGGTAAGTCTCTGCCCTGTGCAGGCCCTTCTCATCCCCACCAGGGCCCATGCAGGGCAGGTAATGGCCCCGGCCAAGCCCATGGGGCACATCCTGCCCTGGCTGAGTGCCGGCTGTCACCCCTGTGCCGCAGACCTGGGCTCCACCAGCCCCAGCCTCTCAGTCCAGTCCCCGGTCCCACCGTTGCTGAGCAGCTCCCCATCAGAGAACAACCTCGGCAGCCCCGTGGAGGCACCGGCAGCCGGTGAGCTGCAGCCAGCGCTGCTGGGCTCCCCTGCAGGTACCAGCCTGGCACATCCGTCCTGGCGCCTGGGCCCGTGCCCTTGGCAGCTCGAGGCTCCAAGGTGCCAGGGCAGGGACAGGAGGGGGCCTGCGGGGGCCGGGGTGCTCCTGATGCTCTTCTCTCTGCAGGCTCCGTGCAGACCTGGCCCCTTGTCTCGGTGGCTCCCTCCTGGCTGACAGCACCACCGGTGCTCCCACAGAGCCCCCCAAGCACCCCAGGCGGGCCCATCCCCACAGCCCTACCCCAGCCCCTCCTGTCCCCACTGCTGCTCCCCACATCCCCTGTTCCCAGCGAGCCCAGCAGCCCCCTGAGCCACCCCATGACCAGCACATCCTGGTCCCCCACCACCCCCTTCCTTTCTCTGGCCAATGTCTTCTCTCTGGCAGTGATGAGCGTGGCGCACACGCTGCTGCCCGGCGTCTCCTCCATCGCCAGCTCCGGTGCACACGTGTACCCACCGCTGCTGCCGCGGCCACAGAGCCTGGTCCTGGGGCCCCCCCGCTTTGTCTACCCTGAACCCGCCAGCATGGTCAAGCCAGCACCAGCCTTCAGTGGGACTCTGCTGTCAGCAGGGGCTGATGTCCCCCCTGCCAGGGGGCCCGTGCCGTTCCCTTCCCCGGCACCAGCCCCACCATACCCCACAGGCAGCAGTGCTGTGGGGAGTCCCCTGCCATCGTTGAGTACATCCACACCAGGGAGACTGGAGGGCAGCGCGGTGAGTGCTGGGGTGGCAATGGCTCCTCAGGTGGGGCTCAGCTCCGGGAGGGCCAGGTTGTCACTGCAGATGCTGCCCTGGAATGGGGTGGGGAGCCCCTGGGATGCAGGGAGGGTTGAGCAGGCAGTGGGTCTCAAGGCACGGGAACAGCAGTGGGGGCCAGGAGACGCAGGGGGACCCGGGTGGGGTGGTTGACAGTGTCTGAGTGCCTGCAGGTGCTGCCTGGCTCCCCCAAGCCCAGCAACTCGCTCATCATCTCGGAGTCACCAGCCCCTGGCGTGCCCAAGGCCCAGCTCTCGCCCATCAACGAAGGTGAGGCGGGGAAGGGCCGAGGCTGTGCCAGAGCACTGTGAGACCCCTGACAGCCTTTGTGCCCTGAACCCCACCAACTGCCCCCCGTCCCCAGCAGAGGCCAAGCCCCAGATCCTAGGCCGGTTCCAGGTGACACCAATCAAGGACGTGGCAGCGACGTCTCCGGTGCTGGGCAGCAGCGAGGGTGAGCAGCACGGCACAGAGCCGGCAGCCAGGGGCTCCCCCTTGCCTGCAGCCCCTGCCACAAGGGGCAGCTCAAGCAGCGAGTCGGACTCAGTGCTGGAGATGGTGGAGCAGGACCCCGAGGCTGAGGAGGTGCTGGTTGAGGAGGGCAGGGCGGCGGCAGCGGAGAGTGACCGGGAGGGTCCTGGGGAGGACGGTGGCGAGAGCGCGCCGCAGGCGGTGATAAACCAGGTGTGGCTGAGCTACTCCCACAGCTTGTCCTACCTGAGCAGCGACGACACCGAGAGCGAGGATGAGGAGATCTGGGAGGAGCTGCAGAACCTGCGCCAGAAGTGAGCAGAGCTTTTGGGGGGGGCTGCACCTGGGGGAGCAGCACAGGGGCTGCTCGAGCTTGGCTGGGCGCAGCGCAGGGCTCGGCTGCCAGCTCCTGCCTCCTCCGCAGGCACCTGGCCGAGGTGCAGCTGCTGCAGAGCATGCAGAAGAAGGAGATCGAGGAGCTGTACCTGCGCATGGGGAAGCAGCCGGCGCTGGGCATCGTGTCCCCCGCTGCCATGCTCTCCAGCCGCCAGCGCCGCCTCTCCAAGGGCAGCTTCAACCCGTCCCGCCGCAACAGCCTGCAGCGCCTGGAGCTGCCGCAGCCCCAAGGTGCCGACCCCTGCTCTGCTCGACCCCTCGGGACCCTGCGGGCTGGGGACCGCGGGGCTGCGGCACCGCTGGTGCCCGCGCTCAGGGCCGCCGTGTCCCCGCAGGCATCATGCGCCGCAACTCGCTGAGCGGCAGCAGCACGGGCTCGCAGGAGCAGCGGCTCAGCAAAGGGGTGACCTTCGCCGATGACTTCAGCCGCGTGGTAAGAGCTCGGCGCCGGTGCTGCCCCCGGCGGCCCCGCGGTGCTGCCGCTGCTCACGGCTGCTTCTCTCCCCAGTAGCCGGCTGGCCGGGAGTGACCTCATGAACTACCTCAACCAAGTGCCTGCTGCCCCCGGGGTGGGGGAGAGCCCCCTTCGCGCCTCCCGGGAGGGAAGCGCCAGCCCTGGGAGCAGCCAGCGCCGTGGGGCCGATCCAGCCGGGTGCCCGCAGCCCCTCACCTCCAGCCCTCTGTATCTGCCCTCCAATCTCCTCCTTCCTTGTGCCCCCTGGACCCCTCCCTACCGTTCCCAGTCTGTTTCTCCAGCCCAATCCCAGCTGCAGGACACGTGCAAGGCGCTGCCATCCCTTATGGATCCCCGCAGGCAGAACCACCCCCCCCCTCAGTGATCTCAATCCATCCCAGCCTTGCTCCGGGGCTGATCCAGCCCTGCTCTGTGTGGGATGATGCACGGGGCTGGACCTACGGCCCCAGGGCTGCCCTGCTTGATGCCCCCCTCAGCTCATCCTGCACAGCGGAGCCAGAAGGAGCTTCCCTGGGCTCTGTAACGTGAGCAGGACCAGCAGCGGGTGCACTCAGTTATGAACTGATGCCTGGAAAGTGTTTCATAAATACCGATTAAATCCAGCTCGGGTCTGTTTGTGTCTATCTGGCGGGACTCGTGACCTTAGCTCAAACCGAGCTAAGATGAGAAAAGAGCAAAGCAGAAACTTGCCCCATCTCAGCAGACACCGGAGCCGGGCTCTGACCAGCAGCGACTTCACCGGGCACCGACGCAGGCTGCACACGCGGTGTTTATTAACGGAAGCCACGGGCAGGGCCCTGGCAAAGGCAGCCGCCTGCGCGGGAGCGCCCGGCGCGTCTCCCTGCACCGCACCGGGCAGGCCCAGAGCCCGCACCCGGGGCCGGGCGCTTCCCCCTCCCGCTCCGCGGGGGCTGCAGCTCACGCCGTTCAGCGGGGCCGGGCCGGGCGCTCCGCGCTCAGCTCCCTGCGCTCTCAGCCCGCGCCCGGGCCCGCGCCCGCGCCGCCTCCGCCTCCTGCTCCAGATCGTCCAGGAACCGCTCCTGCGACACCGAGTAGAAGGTGTACGCGTCTGCGGGCCGCGTTAAGGAGAAGAGCTGCCGCGGAGCGCTCCCGGTCCCGGTCCCGGTCCCAACCCCGCCTCGCCCCGGCCCCGCAGGATACAGATCCCGACCGTGACGGCGCCGATGCCGAGCGCCAGCAGCACGTTGCGGCGGCGGGGGCGGCTCCGCAGGGCGCGCTCCACCCGCTCCATGTGCAGCCGCTGCTGGGGGCTCAGTCCCGGCTCCCGCCGAGGGTCGATGCGCCGAGCGAACGCCGCCTCCCGGCCCGGCTCCTGCGCCGCCATCTTCCGCCGCCGCCGCCGGTTCCGTACAGCGTGCTGACGTCACATCCACCAGAGACACGCGTCCAATCAGAAGCGGCTTTGGGAGCGGGGCGTCGAGTGGTTGGCTGCGGCAGGGGCGCGCTCTGATTGGCCGAGCGGGGCCCCGTGACCGCGCGCGTGCTGAGGGGGCCGCCGGTCCCGGTTGCGGTCCCGGGGCCGCTGCGGCGCTGTCGGAGCCTTCACCGGGGGCGGGCAATGGGCTCCCAGGCGCAAGCAGCGTCCCGGTGCCGCGAGCCAGGCCCCGCCTTCGGCAGGGTGTCCCCGGAGGTCATCGAGGAGGCGCTGATCCGCCTGGCCACGGAGAACGAGCGGCACCTGAGCGAGCTGCCCGAGGGGGCCGGGTGCTTCAAGGAGGCGCGGATCGTGGGTGAGGGCCCAGCCCGGCGGCCTGTGGCGGTCAGGGCCGGGGCAGGGCTGACTCTGCCCTTCTCCTGCAGAGTTCATCTTCCTCTTGGCTGAAAAGTGGCGCCTGGACCCGTCGGCGCGGTACCAGGCAGTGGAGTTACTTGAGAGGTACGGAGCAGCCCGGGTGCTCGGTACATTCCCTGTCTCTCTCTCATGTGCCCTGGACCGCTCGCTCAACCAACCTGTGGTTGGTTTTCGCAGCCCCAGAGCTTTCTCTCTTTGCTGATTTAGCTCAGTTTTTTGAGCTGAATACATGCAGAACTGCTGCTTGTCCTTTTGCTTAGCAGAAGAGAACGGTTTTCTGAGCAGTTTTGGGTTTTGTAGGTTTATGATCAAGCAGGTGGAACAAATCTCTAAGTCCTCTAGGAAGAGCGTTAAACACTGTGAGCAGGGGGGAGGCAGCAGCTGCAGCTCTCTGGAAGATCAGCTCTACAACACGTTTGTCCTGCGGCTCGTGTCATGCATTCAGCTCGCGAGCAAACTGTCCCTGCACTATAACGTAAGCCCAATGAACCTGTTCTTGTCATGGCTTTTAGCAGTGTAGCAAGCTATGTGGTACACTTATGTCTGTTAAAAAGAAGATTAGAAAGGAAGAGGGCCATGAAAGCAGTCAGGGGCTGGAGCACCTTCTGTATGGAGCCAGGCTGAGAACATTGGGGCTGTTCAGCCTGGAGAAGAGAAGCTGCTTGGAGACCTCAGAGCAGCTTCCAGTGCCTGAAGGGGGCTACAAGGATGCTGGAGAGGGACTCTTCTTCACGGACTGGAGCGATAGGACAAGGGGAAATAGGTTTACACTTAAACAGGGGAAGTTCAGATTAGATATAAAGTTCTTTACTGTGAGGGTGGTGAGGCACTGGAATGGGTTGCCCAAAGAAGTGGTAAATGCTCCATCCCTGGAGTGTTCAAGGCCAGGTTGGACAGAGCCCTGGGTGACATGGTTTAGTGTGAGGTGTCCCTGCCCATGCAGGGGCTTGGAACTGCATGATCTCAAGATCCTTTCCAACCCACACAATTCTATGATTCTATTATTTCCAATTTGAAAACTATTACTGATCATAAAATGCAAAGTATATTGAAATGGAGACCTAAATTTAGGTTTAAACATTTAGGGTGGATGAATTGTCACTTGTCAAGTAGCAATTTGTGAGATGTTCCCAATATTGCAGGGAAAAAAGTACAGGCAGTGGGGAAAAGTCTGTGGTTGTCAAAAGGTGTATGTCTGCAGGGGGAAAGATTGTGGGGTAAGGGAAACCTTGGGGAGAGAAGGTCTGAACTGGAGTTTTAATTCCAGCTCAACAGGGGTGTTAGACAGGATTAGAGAGCCATGGGAGCTGCAGTGGTTCCGGCTGAAATCCAGTGGGAGGAGTAAACCAAGGAGGTGCTTGCTTCTCCCCGCTGCTCAGGAGCTCATTTGTCTTTTTTCCCCTCTTTTTCCTCCTTCAGAGAGTTAACAGCGACGTAGCTTTAAAATTTCTGCAGTCTCTGAAGTACTCGTACACGAAACAGGAGCTGCTCGAGTCAGAACTTGCTGTTCTAAAAACTCTGCACTTCCAGGTCAACGTCTCGACTCCTTTGGCTTACGTGGAGTTGCTCCTGGAGGTTCTGGGTAAGAGGATTAAGAGGAGAGGGTTTTCAAAAGGTGGAATAGAGCCATTGCTGGTTTGAACCAGACTGTCTCCTCTTACAGATTTTGGCATATGGTGCATTCACATTGTGCAGGGCTTTACTCTTTGGGTGAGAACTTTGTCCGTACTAGAATCCGATGAGTGCTGTTGGACAGCATGTTGAACATGATGTGTTCAGTAGAAGAGTTTAAAACCCCCAAAACCTAATGCAAGAACATGTTTTCTACAAGTGCCCAGGTCTAACAACCTGAATTTAGGTATCAGTGAGATGATACTGAGCTTGAGAAAGCCTGTGGCACTCAGAAACAAGGGGTAGCTGGCACCAGGAGTCTCCATCCTTGGCTCGCGGCTTCTTTCTAATCCAGTTTCATGCCTTGGGATATGGTGCTGATCCTGTGTGATCCCTGTGCTAGGGTACAACGGCTGCTTGCTTCCCACCAAGCCCTTACATGAGATGTGTATTCAGCTCCTCGACTTCTCCTACCTTGCACGAGATGCCATCTACGACACTCTGTTGAAGATTGCCGTCGAAAACTCCACACCAAGCAGACTGCAAGTGTGAGTAGCTCCCATGGCTGATGCTTTAACTGTTTGAAATGAAAACCCTAAAAAACCCTTAAGAAATAGTAGCATAATTCCCATGATGCCACTTTTGGGGGGCATGTTTTTAAAAAAACAGTAATTTTGAGGGGCTTTCAGCATTTATTGAGCTTAATGTTCAAAGCAATGTGCTTCTACACGGGTGCTTTAGGGGCAAGCTAGGGAAATGTTTAATCATAAAACCCCAGCTTTGGCACTGTCCACTGAAGTTAACAGCATCAGGCTTTGTTTGGACTGAGCAAGTGAACGTGTGCTTTGTAGCCCTCCCAGAAGCAGGTGCTTTTGAACTGCAAAGCTGGCATTGATGACACCAAGAGACACTTTTACTTCTGCAGAGCAAAGTTTTTGACAGTGAAGGAAGATTTCATGCTCTTGGCTGTAGGAACCATCAGCACAAGCATGTTCGTACTAAACCCTGGCCATTGGAAGCAGGTACAGTCACTTCCAAAGGTGTTGGCTCTATGTGGGTTGTTGAAGTGCAGCAGGAAGCACGTGTGAGGGTGTTGGAAGGCTCCTGTGTGCATTAGTGTGTGTATGTCCTTGTGCTTCAGCATCTCCACAGCCAGAACAAACCCCATACAGGTGAAGTAATCCCGTGGGACTATTTCACAGCCTGTGTGTAGCTTTTTCACCTCTTCAGTAGAAGTGATTAAAAAAGAAAATGCAAAGCAAACATAAAACCCCCCTAAACCAAGCAAACAAACCCCCAGCCACATAGAAAACATACCAAGAGGCTTCACATTTGTTGAAGTGTGGCCATGGAGCACTTATTCCCGTTATTCCCATTAGATTTGCAGGATTAAGAAGTATGTAAAGGAACATCTCTTAGGCACTGTTAGTAAGTTGCTCTCTTGGGTTTTTTTTAAGGTTGTGGAGCATTTGAACTGTATCACTGGCATCACTTCCCAGAGCATACAAGATTTTTCTTACGCAGTACTGAAACAGGTCATTGGCAGCACCAGTCCGAGGCAGGGCTACAGGAGGTGTGGAACAAAAGCTCTGGAACACAGAACTGGGCCTCCTCAGTAGAGCTGCCTGCCCCAGGGCAGCAAAGCACTGCCACTGCCCAGAGCACCCCATGCAATTTGGTTTGCTTTTGTTTGGAACACCAGGGTTAAGTTAGAAAAGCTCCTTTCAGGCAACACCCCAGTGCTGTGAGGGGAGGCGCCAGGAGCCAAGTAGAAATAACCTCTTTGGGCAGAAAAGTCTTTATTGTAAGACCTACATCAGCTTAGTTCCGAACAGAAGTTCCCTTGAACAAGGAGCAAGCCCTGAGGAGTCACGTTCTGAAACGGCAGTGAGGCGCGTGGTGTGGTAAGGGCACTAGGAGCAGCTCACAACCCCGTTACAAACAGAGCTGTACGTGCTTTCTCTATTTGCTGCTGCTTTAAAGCTGACTCTTGTCCCAGGCAGCCGGGATGCTCCTGTGTCCCCTCTCTGCTCCCAGCCCAGCAGGCAGTTGCCCACCTCTGTGGTCAAAGGCACAGCTCCCCCAGTTTGGAAAGGGATGCGACTGTCGCGATAGCAGGGACTTGCTGAGCCCGTCACTGGGAGCTGTGCCCATGTCACATGGAAGCACTCTTCGTGTAGAATAGTGTTTTATTATTTACTGGGTGCACCTCCAGGTGAGAACAGGCTGCAGGAAGTATCACAAACACCAGCATCATCCCAGCTAACGGTACCTGAAGCAGTATCAAACCTTGCTACGTTGAGCGGCACAGAGTACTGACGTGACTTAGAATCCTTTATTTCAGACTGAAGTTACCTTGAGCTCCTCCACGTTCCTCTGTAACATTTCACTTCTCTAGCTGTAAGAGTGGTACTGAACTCACCCCTTTGAAGTTCAGCAGTCATTTCAGTCTATAAACCTCAAAGTGCCAGTTTAGCATTGATTTAACAGCTTTTTATTGTGTTCAGCTCCATGACACAACTTTACATATTGCTTTTCTATATACTACTTGTAATAATGGTCTTTTAAATAAAGTGTCTTGTGGTTTTTTGGTATTGTAAACATTTTATACTGGTTAATATTAAGAGACATCTTAATGTGACTTTCTCTGACGGAACACAGACATCCTGCAGCTGCCAGGACGAGTTCTTCCCATGGTTACTTGTTATAGAACTGGGATGAGACCCAGGCAAGACCCCACTTCAGGTTAGTTAACATGAATTTCAGTGCTTTTGTCCATTGCTCCTCAGAGTTAAATTGTGTTTTAATAGAGTAAGAGCCACCGCTGCCGCCTGTGTCTTCAATCTTTCCTTTCTCCACGTCCATCCTAGACCATACAAAGCTTCATTAGTGTGTTACTAGTGCGAGCATTTCTTTTCCATGTGACATTTCAACCTGACATTTTTGTTATTTTATATAAGAATACTTTGGTTTTAACAGAAATCTACCAAGCCTCAGGTCTTCACCTGAGGAACAGGCTTTAAGTACCAAGAGAAATGGGGTAATCTTGCACGTTATAAAGATCACGGGCTGATTCCAGGGCAGAACCATGTCAGTCAGTGCTGTGTGGGGCTGCACATGAGGTGTTCACTTGCTGTGTCAGACAGCAGCACTCACCTGTAGGGCAAACAAAACCGGGTTTCCCCTTTCTCCACTTCCTCTTTAAACTGCTGCACGCAGTCCAGGAAAGCCACCATCGCATGGTCAAATTTATTGTCCCAGAAGAACCTCAGGCCTCCAGAACAGTACAAGGGAAGCTCCTGGAAAAGAGATGGGTTTCAAGCACTCTAAGTATTCCCATTTAGATAGAGTCATTGCAGCTCTTTAGTCCTCTGTAGTGTGAGGCTTAAATTTGTCAGGGGATCCTTAGAAACGGTTTGTGGCACGTAGCAAGTGTGACTTGTGGTTGGTGCCTGTTACGTGCAGGCTTGGGTTCCTAATCACCAACAACCAGCCCACACCATCTTCCTCTGGCCAGTGCAGTGTTTGGCTCCAGAGTCCTGTTGTTTTTAACCAGGTGGCAGGAAGAGCAGCTTGATACAGGATATGGAATTACTAGATTAGATACTAGTTATTTTGTTAGAGAAGTTGTGGCACGTAGTTGTCCTGTACCATAGACACAAAAAGCTAAGTTTGCTTTCTGTGACCAGGGCTCTGTGGCACTCAAGGTCAGTGTGACTTGTGTGGGGTCTCTTACCTTTGATTTGTCCGTGAGAGACTCTAAATATGAGTGGTTGCCATATGGTACAAGACGGTATCTGAAAGGAGATGGGATTCACAGGCAGATGAGCCCAGCTGTCTCTGTCTGGGCCAGAAGCAAAAGCTGTGTTACATGGCATGTACCTCTGAAACTTCAGGCCCATTTTGTTTGCAAGGGCATGGAGCAGCAGCACAGTCTGCCCCCAGGCAGCGTTGATCTCATTCCATTCTACAGGCACGCTGGGGAGCCGGCCAAGTCTGAAGTTATTTATTGTGCCAAACTGACCACTGTGCCTGTGATAGGAGGAATCAGAAATAAACTGCTGGAGCAGGAACAGCTTCTGGCACTAAAGTGTGTGATGGCTGCGGTGTAACAGCCATCCCCCATGCACGGGGAGCTCAGCAAAGGGGGGTTGGGGCTCTGATTACAAATCGTATGTAAATAGAAAACCCTTGTTATCTGTTTATCATGGAATCCCAGACTGGTTTGTGTTGGAAGGGACCCTGAAGCTTATCCGCTTCCAACCCCCTGCCACGGGCAGGGACACCTTCCACTGGAGCAGCTTGCTCCAAGCCCCTGTGTCCAACCTGGCCTTGAACACTGCCAGGGATGGGGCAGCCACAGCTTCTCTGGGCACCCTGTGCCAGCGCCTCAGCACCCTCACAGGGAAGAGCTTCTGCCTAAGAGCTCATCTCAGTCCCCCCTCTGGCAGGTTCAAGCCATTCCCCTTGTGCTGTCCCTACAGGCCTTTATCAACAACAGCCTCTCTGCAGCCTCCTTTAGGTATGTGTGACCCCATTAGTGCTGTCCCTGCTCCGAGCAGCCCCACGGTACCAGATGTGGAAGGTGGCGTTGAACACGTTGGTTTTCTTTAGTTTATCCAGTTGCATCTGGGCGTAGCGCATCTGGTTCTCCACACTCTTCAGCTCATCATCCAGCTCCAGCTGTTGCCTCTTGAATTCACAGTATTCCTTCTGATACCTTTGAACAAGAGCAAGACAACAAATGTCAAGTGCTTGTACAGACAAGCGATTGCTCTCCTGGTACTCCAGGGCTTATTTGGCCGTGCCAACTCCAGTTTTGCAAAGACCAAGCCACCTGCATTTGGCTGTTACTTACAGCTTTCTCTACATTATAATCTCATTTATCTGTTACTTAAAATCCCTGCCATAAGCTGAGCTGTGGGTCACTCACTGAGCTTCTTCCTGCTCCAGCCGCTCCGCCTCTGCCCGGACTCTCTCGAAGTCTTCAGCCACAACCTTGCGATTCTTCTCGACATCCTCCAGCTCCTGGATCAGCTGCTCTTCTTCCAGTGCGAGTTCCTTCAGTTCCATCTGCAGCTTCTCCTTATCATCCTCGTTCATTTGCTCCAGGATCTCCAGACACCTCCTAAAGGAGAGCGCCAGGATTACCAAACCAGGGATGGCAGGGAGGCTCCTGCTGGCAGCAGTGCAGATGGGGACTGGGATCTCCCACTGCTGTTGTTCCCAAGCTGTGTTGATCCTGCACCATGAGTCAGGAATACACAGAGCAGGGGAGCAAGATGGTGACCGAGGGCTGCCGCTGCCTGACAGGAACTGTCTCTGTGGAGCCCTGGGTTGCACTGGAATGCCACAGACCTCAGCTGGAGAAGCTGTTACCACGGGATTCTCACAGGTGAAGGTGTCATGTCAATCAAAGAAAACCCCAAGTGCTCAAGTCAGGGATATCCCAATGGTCATGGGAAGGCTCTGGGCTTCCCCCAGCCTAAAGCTACTTGGTCCTGGGTTGCCTCCAGCTCACTCACTTGTAGTTCTGGCACTCGTTCTCGGTGATGTTAAGCTGGGTGTCCAGCTGGTCCAGCAGCGTGTCCGTGCACTCCTCACACAGAGGGTGATCCACGTCTGTCTGCCCGGACATGATGTCAAAGAGGTCGCCGGTGACCTGCAGGAAGCGTTTGCCATCAGGTTGGGTGAAACCGTGGCTGCTGTTGGCTCCTCACCTAAACCTCACCCCCGATACACCGGGAGGCCAGTGCTGTGTCTCCCAGAGCATCCAGAATGAGTGCTGCTCTGGCTCGGAGGTACCCAAACTTACCAGCTCCCACACAACTTGCCTTCAGTCTGCGGCTGAGGTTTTCCATGGTGCCGCCATCCGACGCCTCCCCGATCAGCGTGAAGCTGTTGGCGCTTTCTGTTGACATCATTCTTGGAAAGAATTAAATGGAGAGCTGAGTGCTCAGGGGCCAGGCTTAAACCTGAGGCTGGGTTAAGAGGCAGAAGGGACGAGCACAGGAGAGGAGGAGCTGCATTGCGGGTGAGCTCTAGGGGACGGTGGTTGGGTTCACCCGGAGGTAAGGGGCAGCCCCAGGCAGCACCACGCACTCCCGGGGGAAACAGAGCTCACACAGGACTGGTTGCTACGTGCAGGGCTCAGCTGGGCCCCGCTGCTGAGGGGACCCCGTTCTGCCGGTGGGGATGGGACGGACGGGACCCCACTTCCCCGGACTAGGGGCGGATCGGGCCTGCCGGGAGCGCGGCCGTACCTGGCCGGCGGAATGAACCGCCTGGACACGCCATCCTGCCGGTTCTCCGCGAAGGCTTCCTGCGGGACAAGCGGACACCGTCACCGGGCACGGCAGGGGACACAGGACCGTAAGGGGACACCCCCACCAGTGCACCCGACCCCACCGTACCTCCGTCAGGGCGCTCTCCTCTTCGTGCGCGTCCCCGGGCCGGGCAGGGGCAGCGGCCAGCAGCGGGGCTGCGGGAGAGGAGGCGTTACCCGTGCCCGGCCCCGCCGCCCCCCGCCCCGCCGCCCGCCCTCCGCCCCGCGGTACCGGTGAGCTCCTGGATGGTGAGGCGGTCCAGGATCTTGAAGGAGGTGTCGAGCTTGAGCGGCTGCCCGCAGCGCTGGCACACGAAGCTGACCTGCGCCGTGCCGCCGGCCCCGCGGCTGCCCTCCATGCCCGCTCAGCCCCGCGCCATCGCCACCGCCGCGCGGCGGATGTGACGTGCGGCCGCGGGGGCGCGGTCCTGTCAGGGGTGTAACGAGGGGCGGCCATTTTTAACGTGAGCAGCCAGGACCTCGAGCTCGGCGGCGGAGGGAGAGTGCGCGGCCAATTGGCGGGCGCGCTGCGTGACGTCAGTTCCGGTGGTTGGCGGCGACGCCGGTGTTGGGGCAGCGGCAGCGCGGCCCCCGCGGCATCCCCCGGACCGGAGCGGACCGGACGCTCCCCGCCCGCCGCCGCCGCCATGGCCTCGCTGCTCAAGGTGGACCCGGAGGTGAAGCTCAAGGTGCGCGCCCCGCCGGCGGCCTCCCCCCCTTCTTCAGCGCCCCCGCCGCGCGGGCTGGGCCCGGGCCTCGGGGCGGGGCGGCCCCACGCCGCCGCCGCCGCTGCCGCCGCTGCCCGCTGGTTCCACCGCGGCCGTTGCACGTGAGGGCGCTGAGCCCGGCCCGGCCGCCGCCGCACCGGGAGGGCGGGCGCTGGCCCAAGCGAGGTCTGGAGCCTGCCCCTCCGCGCCCGGTGCCGCCGCCGGCCCGGTGTTGGGTTCTCCTCGTGCCGATGGATGGGCCGCTAGGGCCCGGCCCGCGCAGGCGGAGCAGCTTCCGGCGCCGCCGGCAGCGGCCGCTCGGTGCCCAGCGGCTCGGTCAGCTCCCGGGGGTCCCTCGGAGGGCAGGAGGCGCCCCCGAGGCGCTCGGTATGGCTCGGGAGTGACTGAAGTGCTGCTTTTCTCCTTCTGCAGGTGGATTCCTTCAGGGAGCGGATCACAAGCGAGGTGAGGGTCCCCCCCCCCGGTATTGCTGCTGGTGGGATGGGGACAAACCCATCGGGTCCATGTCCCCGAGAGACCTGGCTGTGGTCTGAGCCTCTCCAGGCAGCTCCGCAGCCCATCAGCTGCCAGCCGTGGCGAGGGGCTCGAGCCTCGTGCTCTCCTGGCCCATTCTCACCCTGCCTCAGTGTGGCAGCAGCCACAGCACTCATGTTCCCTGCTGCTTCCTGCCTTTGGACAGTTGCGTTCCTGCTGTTCTCTGGCGGTGGGAGCTGTTTCCCATCATTATCTGTGCCTTCTCTCTCAGGCTGAAGACCTGGTGGCAAACTTTTTCCCAAAGAAGCTGTTAGAACTCGATGGGTTCCTCAAGGTGAGATCTTCCCGTCTCCTTTTTCACCTCCAAGCTGAGCGCTGATAGCACCGTGGCAGGCCCTGGCCTCTTGTGTCTTTCACTGTGTCGCACGGGGGTGAAGCTGCAGCTCAGTCGCTCGCATGCATTTGAGGGCTGTTGGCTCTAGAGGGGGTGCTTCCCCTTGCAGTTTTCTTTGTGTGATCACCACATTCATCTTTCTTACATGTTTTGCTACGTGGGGCTGTGCTGTGCTGTGCTTTCACATGGCTCCAGCCCTGCAGGCAGTTGATAGCTTTGATCCAGGCTGGAGCTGGCACGCTGCTCTTGGGTGGAGGGAGGGCTCCTCACAGGCTTATTGTTAGACCCTTTCTGTTTCATTTGTCCTTATTTTATAGTTGGATACGAGAGCGAGCTGGATCTTTTGTCTTCTCATTGTGTTTGGTGGGACAGAGTTTCTTCACTCATAATTAAATAACAAATCTGCTTTATTTTCCAGGATCCTATCTTGAATATTCATGATCTCACTCAGATCCATTCGGACATGAACCTCCCAGTGCCTGACCCAATTCTTCTCACAAACAGCCACGATGGACTGGATGGGGTAAGGTTACTCTCTTGGCTGTGATCCCTGCTTCTCTTGATTAAAACTGCATGGCTTGCCCTGTGCTGGAGTAGGTATATTCTCACTCAGTAACAGGCCATGGCTCTCCCAAAGGCTCTTAGGAACTGCTCTGGGAAGTCTGCTGAAGGCAGTACTGTGCTCTGCAGACCTCCTTGGCTCTTAAAGAAGGATGCTTAGATCCAGGAGCGTAGCAGAGGCTCTGAAGTTTCCCTTGGTTCCTTTGGGACACTGCTGTAGCTCCCGAGTAGTTTGTGAGTAAAACATTTTGTATGTTTTAGCCAAATATGAAAAAGAGGAAGCTGGAGGACCGCGAGGAGACCTTTCAGGGTAAGAGTCCCCAAGTCCCTTGTGTTGCTGCTTGCACCCTGAGCCAGTGCACCACGCCCTGGGGATATGAAATGGCACGAATCCCACTTGCCCTGTCCTGACAGCAGCTGCTGCTCATACAGGCCTGTCCCCACGACCTCTCCAAGCTTGACCTACGCTTCTGTTGAGGAGGAGTCAGGTTCCAGCTCTCAGAAGCATAATTAGGACTTCTCTGATAGCCACAAGTAGTACTTGCTTGAGCTTGGCTTGCTGACAGAGGCAGCTCATCTCCCTGTGGCTCTCCTTGTCTGGAGGAAGACACCAGGCTTTGGCTTAAGCTGAGGCACAAACAGCTCGCACACTTGGAGCAGGAAATCCCTTGTGCTCAGGCTCAGCAGCCTGGAGCTCTTCAGCTCCATGTTCTCTCTTCTTCCCTTGTGGTAACTGCTGTCATCCCGTGTCAGATCTCCCCTTCCATGCACGTTAGCTATAGCTTGACTCAGTGTCCACAAGCCTTTGCAGGAGATCAGATGCTCAGGTGGACCTTCGGTGTGATCCGCTGGTGCAGCTCTTCCTGTGTGTCCTGATGAGGTGTTTTTCTCCTCTGCTGGTAGGTACCAAAGTGTTTGTGATGCCCAATGGGATGCTGAAGAGCAACCAGCAGCTGGTGGACATCATTGAGAAAGTGAAACCAGAAATCAGGCTGCTTATTGAGAAGTGTAATACGGTGGGTATGAGCACTGGAGCCAAGTGGAAGCAGGAGGATGGAGGCAAAGCTGCTCTGGGTGGAAGGAGCTGACCCCTCTGTACTCTGTGGATGAGGAAAGGCAGGATTTGTATTGCAGTGTCTGAGAGTGGCTGGGGGTAGGTGTAGGGAAATAATCCTAGAATCCCAGCTCGGAAGGGACCTCAAGGATCATCTGGTGCAACCTTTCTAGGCAAACCGTGACCTACACTAGATAGCCCAGCACTCTGCCCAGCTGAATCTTAACAGTGTCCGGTACTGAGGACCCCACCACTTCCCTGGGGAGATTATCCCAGCAGCTGATAGTTCTCATTGGGAGAAACTTCCCTGTGTCCAGCTGGAATCTCCCCAGGAGTAACTTGTGCCCATCACCCCTCCTCTCCTCCATGTGTGTCCTTGTCAAAAGGGGGTCTCACTCTTCTTTGTAGCCGCCCTTTAAACACTGGAATGTGGGGGTGAGGCCTTCCTGGAGCCTTCTATAGGCTGAACAAGCCCAGCTCTCAACTTTGGATCATCTTTGTGGCCCTTCTCTGGCCCCCTCCATACCTTTTGAGCACGGTCTGTGTGGAGGTGTCGGTATTGATCAGTGCTGTGATCTCTCCACCACAGGTCAAAATGTGGGTGCAGCTTCTCATTCCCAGGATAGAAGATGGAAACAACTTTGGTGTTTCTATTCAGGTGAGGCCCTGCTGGCTCTACTCACTGCCCTGCTGCAGGAGGAGCTGTGCTCCAGGGACAGGGATCTCTTGGCTTCCTCTGAATCTTCCATTTGATAGTGTTCACTCAGGTTTTAAAAGCCCAGCCTGAGCTTGACATGGCACTGCTGAGACGTGCTGCTTGCAGAGCCCTAGTGAGCAGTCTCGTGCAGCCAATGACTTCCTCCTCTTCCCTGCAGGAGGAAACAGTCGCTGAGCTTCGAACTGTGGAGAGTGAGGCAGCGTCCTACCTGGACCAGATTTCTAGGTAGGCATGCAAGGACAAGCCTCGTTTGTGGGAGCCCCTTGGGAAAGGGAGGTGCTTGGGGAAGGTCCCCCAGCTTTCCTAGGGCAGCTTGGGCCTGAAAAAGATCTCGGTGCTGTTAATCTGACCTTTAGTCTCTCCCTTTTCTTATCAGATATTATATCACAAGAGCAAAATTGGTTTCCAAAATAGCTAAGTACCCTCATGTGGTAAGTGAGTGGGGAAGTGGAGATGTACATGGTACAAGCTGCTGCTTTTGGGGACTCTTTAGGCCACTTCATCACTGTCCTTTTTGGGCTGAGGGTCTTGGGGGGGGCAGGGAGGGATTGTGCAGGGGTGCAGGACATCTGCATTAGAGGAGAGCAGTTGAAGGGGTGGGGGGGTTCCCTTGGTGCTGGGGAGGCAGTGCTGGGCTCAGCCTCTGCTCCCTGCAGGAGGACTATCGCCGCACCGTGACCGAGATCGACGAGAAGGAGTACATTAGTCTGCGCCTGATCATTTCAGAGCTGAGGAATCAATATGTAAGTGGAAAACTGGAGCTTGCCAACAGGAGAGAGCCCTTGTGACCCTCCTGCCCTGCCCTTCCCCTTGGGGTACACCCGCTCCTGCCTCCTCCCCGCTCTGATGAGAGGAGCTGACTGTCACCTCTCCTGGGGGTGCCGGTGTCTAGCACCTCCTGAGCTCTCCCTGCAGTCCAAGCTATCCCTGGGGTCCTTAGAGAAATCATTTCTGCGTTACATGTGGTGACTTCTGCACAGTCTGGCTGAAAGAAGCCCTTGGACTGGGGATACGACTGCATGCAAGGGATGAGGGTAGTGCCAGCGTGAGCTATGCTGCTGCTTTAACCCGGGCTCATTGTGAAGACTGAATGCTGCATCCCCTCACCCTGTCTGAGGCCTTGTCTCCCTTTTTGCAGGTCACTTTGCATGACATGATCCTTAAAAACATTGAGAAGATCAAGAGGCCTCGGAGCAGCAATGCTGAGACCCTCTATTAAGTGTCAACGTTTGAACTTGAGAACTGTTCAGTCAGCTAAAGACCGTCATTGCCTTGGTTTGTTACGTGACTATCGAGATGGGAAACTGGCTGGAAATAGTATCGCATTCTTAGTTAAACTCTAAAGAAACTTGCCTAGTTTTGTGATTGGTTTTGTTCAGGTCTCAGGAGCTCTCCCTCCCTCTAGTAACTGGTACCGAGAAGGCCGTGCTGCTTTGGGGTGCCCTAGAGGCTGCTTTGGAGTGAGAGCACCAGCCAGGCAGGAACATTCCTTCATGCCTTTCTTCCTACCTGAGTAGGAGCGACACTAGAGACCAAGCCCCTGTCCTGCCCCATCTCTTAGCTGGGGTCTCTGGGAGTGGGGCAGACAGAGCATGCTGGGGTGGTGGTGCTGTGGGGGAGAAGCTGGCTCTTTGCTGCTGGGCCCCTCTGCTGCTGGTGCTCTGCAAGGACAGGGGAGCCTGCCCCTCCTGGTCCCGGTGCTGCTGCCTGCTCTGCCCTCCTGGCTCTCTCCTGACAGCAGAACCTGCCCCTTGTCCCTCTGCCTTGTCAGTTCTGGCTAGATCAGTGCAGAGCAGCACAAGGTGGTGCTTGAAACTCAGCTGGTCACTGTCCCAGCTGGTCAGGAGCTCAGGTGGCTTCTGCCCCTGGTTGTGATTGGACTTAGAGCCCCTTTCTTGGCTAAACCCAACGTTATTCACACACATCCTGCTGCCCCTTCAGCATGAGAGGAGGGGGGGCCCGGGGTCCGATACTAACTCCTGGTAGTCTCCACACGTGCTCAGGCTGAGCCCCGCTGTCCCCTGGCAGTGCTCCCGTGCAGCTGGTGCTTGGGGTGAGGATGGCTGGTGCCCACCTACCTGGTCCCATGGCAGACCCCGTAGGCCTTCCCCTGCAGAGGGCATGCTCGTGTGCCTGGGGGCTCCGCCGGGACGTTTCATGGTCCATTACAAACCCCTTTGGGAATGACTGGTTGTGTTGCATCAGTTTCTGTGTGTGGCAAATGGGCCCAGAACGCTGCAAGCTCCAAAATTTTTCTTATTTATAGTATTTCTACTTGAGTCCCCTCTTCAGGGAACGTGAAGTCATTTGTTTCAGGAACCTCACTGTTGCCCAGGTCTCGCTGTTACACCTGTATATTCTCATTGTGCAGTAGCCTTAATAGTTGTGTTCCCCCCATTGTAACAACAGTGACAAATGGAATGAATTCTCTCCCTTCCCTTTGTTTTTTACTTAGTTTCTTTGTTTCTTCTGCTTCCACCTCTAAGAGCCATGGTGTCTCTTGCTGGTTTCCCAGGGATTTGCCCCGAGTGTGGAGGGCTGCTGGCCCTTGCTATAGACTCTTCTGTTGTTGTTTGTAGTAAGTCAACTCTTAGTCTTCCCGCTAATAAATGCTCAGTAACAAACCAACTGCATTCTGGCTGCTGTCTGGGAGCAGCACTTCCCCTTGTGTTTGTATTGATTCCTTTTGAGTTGTTGGGCTCTCTTTGCCAGATGAACGTATGTAAACTTTGACCATGTCAAGAAATTAAAATGAGGTACTTGGAATTCTTCTAAGGTAGCCCCTTGTGTGTGATGCCGAGCTCCCAGGCTGCGCAGGGCCAGTGGCTGTGCCTTTCTCACATCCAGTTGCTCCTTCCCTGCATTCTCCTCATGCCTCTCTCTGTTGTAAATGCTCTGCACTGCTCTGTAGGTTGTTTCTACTGCAGCTTGCCTTTGGCCCCACGGTTTTGTGTTTGAGCTGTTCTGTCCCACCTCAGCCCAGTGCGTGGGACTCGGGCACCTTGTGTGTGCTTTGTGTGGTGTCTCCTTGAGACTGCAGCATCCATTGCTGCGTGTGTTCCTTTCCTCTCTTGCCTGCTCCCTGCATGTGGTGCCAAGGAAAGGGCTATCCCTGGCCTCTGTGTCTCCTGCTGGGGGAGGCTCAAGGACACGCTCCTGCCTTCCCTGTGCTGCTGGGGCTGGGAGAGTCCTGCTGGTGCCTGACAGGCAGGAGCTGGGCTGGAAGCCAGGAGCAGGGGAGGGTTTCTTGTCCCTGACCCTCACCCCTCAGTGCAGGGGTTTGTGCTCTGCTCTCCAAGTGGCACTGCGCTGTTGGGGCTGTTCACGGGTGACAGCCCAGCTCCTACACGGGGACTGTTAAACTCTGTGAGGAGAACAAAGGCACAGCAGTTGGGTGCAGACGCTCCCATCCGCAGCCGCCGTGGGGAGGGGTCAGGCAGTTCCCGCTGCTCTGTTGCACAGGAGCTGACCCCGTGAGATGAGGGAATGGGAGTTTTCCAAAGGCTGAGGTCTGGCCCGGGGCGTGCTTCAGCCTTGCCTGCGTCGGGAGCGTTGGCACAGGGTTCCCTGTGCAGTTCTCTCCCAGGTGTCTGCCAGTTCCAGAGTGTCCGCTGCCTGTCTCTGGGGTCGGTCTCTATAGATGGGAGAGGCTGGTGTTTGCTCCCTCCATATCTCTGTGCAAGCAAACTCCCTCCTTGCTTTGTCTGGGAGATGTCTGCAGTTATCAAAGGCACCAATGGGCAGTGTCCAAAAGAACTGGGAGGCAAAATAAACACCAGGAGGAGGATGTGAATTCTCCCCATCAGGTGTGGGCCGAGGCGAAGGGCATCAAACGCCATGAACCAAACAAGTCATGAGCAAGTTATGCTGCTGTTTGAGAGACATGGCTTAAGCTGCCTCAGGCTTCTTTTGGAGAAGGTACCACGAGCATCTCAGTGATGTGGCCCTTAAAGATCCTTGAGTGCTTCCATCAGGAAGGTATCGACATGGGTTTCCTGGCTCTGCAGGCTCTGTTAGTTACTCTGCTTCCTGAAATTCCTGCTGCAAGATGTAGGTGGATTTAGGGCTGTTCCGTCCTAAACGTTGCTCCCAGCAAGTGCAGGCTGATTCTTGTGTTGCTTTAAGAAGCTTTACAAGTCCTCATCTTGAGAAGCACAGCAGAAGAGGACAGGGTTCGGTAACGGGGTATCAGACATGCACCCATGGCACACACCCTGCAGCCCTGGGTGTGTGCCGTGCGCTGGTTTGTCGTGGGGATGTCATTCCAGGTCAGGGTTTCTTTTCCAAACCCCGACATGCACAGACCCAGGGCTGTTCCCACCCTTTATTTTCAGACGTCTCCCAGGCGAGCTGCAGGGTTGAGTTGTGATTTGTGGGGCACTCAAGCCTGTGGAGCTCATCCAGGTCTTTAAAGTACTGCTGCGCTGCTTAGAAAATGACCATCTGTAATTGCAGCCTCTGCCTTGACCTTTAGGGACTTGGGATGCAAAACCAAGAGGCAAAGGGAAAACTGGAGGCTCTGCTCTTTGTCAGTGTGAGCGCTGTGCCTGCGGCCTCAGGGGCTTGTGCATCCTCTTGGCTCGGCTCTGTAGGTGTGTGTTGGTGCAGAGCACTTGTGCAATGCTGGGTGAAACAGATTCCCTGTTCCAGGCTTACATGGAAAGGGAATTTTTCTTTCAGGCCTAGCCCCAAGTAACCCTCAAAGCCTTGAGAGCATCCATTGAAAGACTTGACTTGGACATCAGCGCATCTTTGCTTCATCTGTGGCTGCTCAGAGGCATTCTGCCACTAGAGGCCAGTTGGGGAGAGCAGGGTACCTCTGAAACCTGCAGCTGCAGCATCCTGTGTAGCCAAGGCTCTGTCCTCATCTGTCCCATCTCTCCCCATCATTTGTGTCCGTGCCCTCCTCTGGCACCGGCGCCACGTGCACCGGGAGCCGTGGCTCTGCCGGCGCTGGCGCAGCGGCCGGTGAGGCAGCGATGACACATTGCTGGCAGGGAACGGGCGTGCGTGTCCCTGCCCTGCACAGCTGCAGCCTGGGCTAAAGAAGGCTGAGGCTGCCTGTGGTGGTGAGGATAATGGAGCGTGTCCTATGGCAATGTGGCCTCCTGCCTGCCAGTGTGGTGTCTGGTGAGCACGGCCGGGAAGCTGTCGGGGGGGAGGATGAGAAGGGCCAGGGTGAGGTGAGGTGAGGCTGGCAGCAGGAGTGGAAATGTTGGGTTGAATCTCCAGCCATGGCTCTCTTGGATGCCTTCTGCTTCCCAGCACCAGCGGGGACAGGCAGGGATTGGAGCGGTCTGACCCCCAGCCTCGGGCAGGATTGAGCCCCAAGCCTTGGGTGCCACAGGTTGGGGTGGTTTTGTCCTTGAGGGAACTTCTCAGGAGCTGCCCTTCAGTCGCCTGTGAACTGGAAGCAGTGAGGGCTTGTTTCAGTGGAATGAATGAGTTCATGGCTGCTCAGAGGTGCAGACTGAGAGCCGGTTGTTCACAGTGCACCGGTGCCTGAATCTCACCCTGAGCTCCCTCTCTCCGTGCCTGCCAGAGCTGCTCCGGTGCTACACAAGTGATGTGTTCTCCTCAAAGGCTTCCGTGGGGAGGATTTAAGAGAAAATAAATAAAAAGCCACTGCAAGCTCGGGACGGGGCTGCCCGGGACCGTGTTTACAAGGAGGAAACGCGACGAGTCGCAAAGAGGTGGAATTCTACAGCATGGCAACAATTCCCAGCTTGTCAGAGCCGGGCAGAGGTCGCAGGCACCTCGGGCTGACGACAGGAGCTGTGCTTTTACAGGCAGCCGCAGGAAGCGAGGTTGGACTGAACGAGTAACGGAGTTCTGTGGAGCCTGTCTGAGTCACTGCCCCTGCATCTCCACTGCTGCCTTCAGACACTGCTCGGGGAGGACACAGGAGGCTGCAGAGAGAGATCTGCCCTTTCTGGTCACCACCAAGCTCGGATCTCCTCCCCTGGCCTCTCCCAGTCCTTTGTGCTCACCCAGCTCACCCATCCAGTGCAGCCTAAACGGAGAGAGGAGCAGCTGGAAACCCTGCTCCGAGCTGCTGCGAGGGCCCAGGGACCAGCGGAGCCATGAACGTGAGAACCGCGCTCGTGCTCCTGGCCCTGGCTTTAGCCACCGTGTTGGCGCTGGTCTGTGTGCTGCTGAGCAGGGGCAGGGCTCCCGGTGCCTGCCCGCACCGGCCCCCGGCGCAGGAGGACCCCGACGGAGGCCAGAGCCTGGTCTTTGCGGACCTGACCCCCGCCGAGCTGGCCCAGGTGGTGCGGTACCTGCGGGGACACCTCGGGCTGCGGCTGGTGGACGCCGCGCGGGCAAAGCCCTCCGACAACTGCATCGCCTCCGTGGAGCTGCAGGTGCCGGCCAAGGCAGAGGCGCTGCGGTTCCTGGACGGGGCGGGGGCTCGTCCCCCCCGCGAGGCGCTGGCTGTGCTGTACTTTGGGGAGCAGGCAGAGCCCAACGTCACCGAGTACGTGGTGGGGCCGCTGCCGACGCCGCTGTATCACCGGGACGTGACGGTGCGCCGGTACGGGGGGAAGGTGCCGTACCACCGCAGACCGACGCTGGCTGTCGAATACAAGCAGCTGGCCGGGTTTTTAAAGAGCCAAGTGTTCCCCACAGCTCCATCCTTCATGCGCCAAGTGATGGAGTACGATGGAGGCAGCCTCGCAGCCCTGACGGCCGCTCCTCGTGGGTTCCAGTCTGGAGACCGCATCACCTGGTTCGCCTTGTTTCAGAACGTGAGCGGGTTCTTCGTGCACCCGGTGGGGCTGGAGGTGCTGGTTGACCACAGCAGCCTGGACGTGTCCCGCTGGGCGGTGAGCAGGGTCTTCTACAACGGGCAGTACTACGGGGACATGGTGCAGCTGGAGAGCGCCTACGTGCAGGGTCGCATCAGCGTGGAGAAGGTGAGGAGAGCACCACGGGACGGGGACTTCTCGTCCATGAAGCCGCGGGCGCCTCGGGCCGCGCCGTTCCCTTTGCAGTACGAGCCGCAGGGTCCCCGCTACAGTGTCAGGAACAACCACGTCCTCTACCAGGCGTGGAGCTTCGCCTTTGGCATGAGCGTGAGCACGGGCCTGCGCCTGTTTGACATCCGACACAAGGGGGAGAGGGTTGCCTACGAAATCAGCGTCCAGGAGGCCATGTCCGTGTACGGCTCCAACTGCCCCGCAGGGATGTCCACGAGGTACATGGACGGCAGCTTCGGCATCGGGCGCTACACCTCCCCCTTGGTGCGAGGGGTCGACTGCCCCTATTTCGCAACGTACCTGGATGTGCACTTTCTGGCCCATTCTCAGCTCCCTCAAGGCAGTAAAGGTGCCATCTGCATCTTTGAGCAGAACCTGGGCTCCCCGCTGAGGCGGCACTACTCCAACCTGCAGTCGCTGTACTACGGGGGACTGGTCAACTCCGCCCTGGTCCTTCGGTCCATTGCCACCGTGGGCAACTACGACTACGTGTGGGACTTCATCTTCTACCAGAACGGGGCCATTGAAGGCAAGGTCCAGGCCACGGGGTACCCGAGCTCATCCTTCTTCTATGGGGATGGCCTGCGGTACGGCAATAGGGTTTGGGACCGCACGCTGGGTACGCTGCACACCCATTTCATCAACTATAAAGTGGACTTGGACGTGGGAGGTAGGTCTGGGTCTTCCTTTACTGCCTGCCATTATCTTGGTAAACCCCAATGCTCTGGGGGGTTGCCTCCTGTCTGTTGAGCCCCCCATAAGTAACATCTGAACTCTGCTTTTCCACTCTCCCCACCTCTTCTTTCACTGCAAAGTCATTCCTATGCATGGAGCAGCCTGCTGAGGTGATGGAGTTGGAGGCAGTGGGAATTGTCTGGGATCTGCGTGTCCAGGCCAAGGAAAGTATGAAGGTAGCAGCTGCAAAATGTTTGTGTTTCCTGGAGGCCTCCGCCTGGCACGGGGCTCGTTGCCATAGGCACGGCCCCGTCTGCAGCGCTGGAGGTGGGAACCGGCTCTTTGGTGCCCGATGCTGCTCCGGTAACTTGGGGAAGTCCTTTTGGTACCTTGAGTGCCGAGCGTGAGGCAGGCAGCAGGACCAGTGTCCTGCGGGGCTGAGCTCGTGCAGCTCCCTCCTGCTCCTCCTGTGAGCAAACACCGGTAAGCTGCACCCCAAGCCCCCAGCTGCGGAGTTCTGTAGGGAGCCAGCAAATTCCCTTTGCTCCTGCTCCGAGTCATGGGTTTTGGCTGCGGATCCCTGCGGAGTTCTGGGAGCGCAGGGAGCCCCTCGCTGCTGCCGGCGCTGAGCAGCGCAGTGCTGGCGTCTGCCCTGCGAGCCTCCAAGGGCTTTGCTTCCCTTTAAAGGTCATTGCAGCGGGTGCAGGCTGGGGAGGTGCGAGGGCAGCGCTGGTGCCGTTTGGGGTTACTGAAACCTGCTCCTGTGAAACGCAGGGGGAAGAACGTTCGGCATCTGCGCAGGACCAGAGGCTGCGGCTGCAGCAGAGCGAGGGGGAATGCAGCTCCAGTGGCTGCTGCTGCATGCGGGAGTGATGTGCATCCAGTGCAGCCGCTCCAGCGGGCTCTCTGGTACCCGCCTGTGGTGCCGTGGTTTGTGTGGCCCTGAAAGGAGCCGCTGCCGTCGTTACAGCCGGGAAGAGGCTGGATGCTGGTTCCCTCCCTGTGAGTGAGGCACGGAGACGTGCTAAGATCCAGTTCCTGCATGGTGGCGATGCTCAGCTCCGAGCTCTGCTTCCAGACCCGCAGCCCCGGCTGCTGCAAAACGCTCTCGAGAAGAGCTGTGTGAAAGCCCAGACCCATTCCCCAGCGAGGGAGGGCAGCCCTTCCCCAGCAGCAAAACTGCAGCACAGCAACAACGGGGCATCTCCCACAGGGGCTGCTTGCATCCTCATCCGAGGCTGATGTGGGACCTACAGGGGAAAAGGGTGAGGATGGAAGTGAGAATGAAAACTGAAACTCCTGAATTAACAGCATCACAAGCGTGCTGAGTTGATCCAGTGGTTGCAGCCTCAGCCTGACCCTCCCATCTGTGCCTCAGACTGGCCCCACCGGAAGGCAGTGACATGGACCATGCTCCTGTGCTCCATCCTTGCCTCTGACGGAGCATCGCTGCCGCCTCGCACGATGCCACAGTGGGAGCAGCCTTGCAGAAACTGCTGCCCGTGCAGGAGCAGCCTCCTCACGCTGCGCCGGGGTGGCCCTGAGCCCTGCTCGCTGCTCTCGATCGTGGGGTCAGGAAGGCGGAGGTTTCCTGACAGAGGCCATTTCTGTGTGGGACAGCTTCTGTCCGAGGATCACGCCCTCTGGAGTGGGGCTGGGTTGGCTGAATGGGGACAGATGTGTCCCGTTGGTCACCCTGCAGCCTCTGCTCTTCCTGCTGCAGCAGCTCTGGACGCTGCCTCTCGCTTGTGCTTGCTCCCAGGGGTTTGGTGGGCGCTGCCCGTTCTCACCGGGGAGCTTCCTCCTGTCTCAGGTTGTGTGCCCGTGGCTGGAGCAGCGCAGCCCCTTCCCGCAGGGCTGGGAGGGACAGGGAGAACTGGCCTGGGGAGGTGCCGAGGAGCTGCAGGTCCTGGGCTCTCCTGGAGCTCCGGTTCCTCATGGAAGCAGGGCTGGTCCCAGGGCACTGAGGTGCAGAAGGACGGAGCTGGCATCGCTTCCCCCCACGGCATCGCTGCGCTCCCACAGGAGAAGGGATGGGGTCTCATGGGAGATGCTGCAAGAAGCAAATGGCCCTTGGACAGGCAGAGGATGGGGCTCTGCGGTGTCGCCCTGCAGCAGAGAAACCCATCGGGAGCTGGGGAGTGAGTCAGGCACCGGCTCTGTGCTGGCTTCCCCAGGGTGTCTGGGGTAGGGAGGAAACAGGATGAACTGGCTGGGACCTGTGATCTCCTCTCAGCCCCATGCAAGCTCCAGGCTCCATCCCCACCTCAACGAGACGCCTTGACGCCCACAGATGGCAAAGGGATTAAGAGCCTGCTCTGCAGGAGAGGGACGTATCCTGGATGCTGCAGCCGAGCCCTGCTCGTGGGCTCTGCGCTCGGAGAGATGAACCCCAGACTGCCCTACGTGCTGCTGGCGGGGGCCGCCGTGGTGATCCTGGCTCTGTCCTGCGTGCTGCTGAGCAGGGGCAGGCGGTCCCCTGGCTGTGAATCCCAGCCCCGCACCGAGGAGGAGACGGGATCCAGGAGCCAGAGCCTGGTCTTTGCGGACCTGACCCCCGCCGAGCTGGCCCAGGTGGTGCGGTACCTGCGGGGACACCTGGGGCTGCGGCTGGTGGACGCCGCGCGGGCAAAGCCCTCCGACAACTGCATCGCCTCCGTGGAGCTGCAGGTGCCGGCCAAGGCAGAGGCGCTGCGGTTCCTGGACGGGGCGGGGGCTCGTCCCCCCCGCGAGGCGCTGGCTGTGCTGTACTTTGGGGAGCAGGCAGAGCCCAACGTCACCGAGTACGTGGTGGGGCCGCTGCCGACGCCGCTGTATCACCGGGACGTGACGGTGCGCCGGTACGGGGGGAAGGTGCCGTACCACCGCAGACCAATGCTGGGCAGTGAGTATGAGCAAGTGGGAGCTTTCCTGAAGACGGTGGCATTCGCTGCAGCCCCGACCTTCCTGAAGGAGGTCCTGGAATACGACAGCACCAATGTGGTGTTTGAGAGCGCAGCCCCTCACGGGTTCCAGTCTGGAGACCGCAAGTCCTGGTTCGCCTTGTTTCAGAACGTGAGCGGGTTCTTCGTGCACCCGGTGGGGCTGGAGGTGCTGGTTGACCACAGCAGCCTGGACGTGTCCCGCTGGGCGGTGAGCAGGGTCTTCTACAACGGGCAGTACTACGGGGACATGGTGCAGCTGGAGAGCGCCTACGTGCAGGGTCGCATCAGCGTGGAGAAGGTGAGGAGAGCGCCGCGGGACGGGGACTTCTCGTCCATGAAGCCGCGGGCGCCTCGGGCCGCGCCGTTCCCTTTGCAGTACGAGCCGCAGGGTCCCCGCTACAGCGTCAGGAACAACCACGTCCTCTACCAGGCGTGGAGCTTCGCCTTTGGCATGAGCGTGAGCAGGGGCCTGCGCCTGTTTGACATCCGACACAAGGGGGAGAGGGTTGCCTACGAAATCAGCGTCCAGGAGGCAATGTCCGTGTACGGCTCCAACTGCCCCGCAGGGATGTCCACGAGGTACATGGACGGCAGCTTCGGCATCGGGCACTACACCTCCCCCTTGGTGCGAGGGGTCGACTGCCCCTATTTCGCAACGTACCTGGATGTGCACTTCCTGGCCCATTCTCAGCTCCCTCAAGGCAGTAAAGGTGCCATCTGCATCTTTGAGCAGAACCTGGGCTCCCCGCTGAGGCGGCACTACTCCAACCTGCAGTCGCTGTACTACGGGGGACTGGTCAACTCCGCCCTGGTCCTTCGGTCCATTGCCACCGTGGGCAACTACGACTACGTGTGGGACTTCATCTTCTACCAGAACGGGGCCATTGAAGGCAAGGTCCAGGCCACGGGGTACCCGAGCTCATCCTTCTTCTATGGGGATGGCCTGCGGTACGGCAATAGGGTTTGGGACCGCACGCTGGGTACGCTGCACACCCATTTCATCAACTATAAAGTGGACTTGGACGTGGGAGGTAGGTCTGGGTCTTCCTTTACTGCCTGCCATTATCTTGGTAAACCCCAATGCTCTGGGGGGTTGCCTCCTGTCTGTTGAGCCCCCCATAAGTAACATCTGAACTCTGCTTTTCCACTCTCCCCACCTCTTCTTTCACTGCAAAGTCATTCCTATGCATGGAGCAGCCTGCTGAGGTGATGGAGTTGGAGGCAGTGGGAATTGTCTGGGAGCTGCGTGTCCAGGCCAAGGAAAGTATGAAGGTAGCAGCTGCAAAATGTTTGTGTTTCCTGGAGGCCTCCGCCTGGCACGGGGCTCGTTGCCATAGGCACGGCCCCGTCTGCAGCGCTGGAGGTGGGAACCGGCTCTTTGGTGCCCGATGCTGCTCCGGTAACTTGGGGAAGTCCTTTTGGTACCGTGAGTGCCGAGCGTGAGGCAGGCAGCAGGAGCGGTGTCCTGCGGGGCTGAGCTCGTGCAGCTCCCTCCTGCTCCTCCTGTGAGCAAACACCGGTAAGCTGGACCCCAAGCCCCCGGCTGCGGAGTTCTGTAGGGAGCCAGCAAATTCCCTTTGCTCCTGCTCCGAGTCATGGGTTTTGGCTGCGGATCCCTGCGGAGTTCTGGGAGCGCAGGGAGCCCCTCGCTGCTGCCGGCGCTGAGCAGCGCAGTGCTGGCGTCTGCCCTGCGAGCCTCCAAGGGCTTTGCTTCCCTTTAAAGGTCATTGCAGCGGGTGCAGGCTGGGGAGGTGCGAGGGCAGCGCTGGTGGCGTTCGGGGTTACTGAAACCTGCTCCTGTGAAACGCAGGGGGAAGAACGTTCGGCATCTGCGCAGGACCAGAGGCTGCGGCTGCAGCAGAGCGAGGGGGAATGCAGCTCCAGTGGCTGCTGCTGCATGCGGGAGTGATGTGCATCCAGTGCAGCCGCTCCAGCGGGCTCTCTGGTACCCGCCTGCGGTGCTGTGGTTTGTGTGGCCCTGAAAGGAGCCGCTGCCGTCCTTACAGCCGGGAAGAGGCTGGATGCTGGTTCCCTCCCTGTGAGTGAGGCACGGAGACGTGCTAAGATCCAGTTCCTGCATGGTGGCGATGCTCAGCTCCGAGCTCTGCTTCCAGACCCGCAGCCCCGGCTGCTGCAAAACGCTCTCGAGAAGAGCTGTGTGAGAGCCCAGACCCATTCCCCAGCGAGGGAGGGCAGCCCTTCCCCAGCAGCAAAACTGCAGCACAGCAACAACGGGGCATCTCCCACAGGGGCTGCTTGCATC